ATCAAAACACAGGTCTAGATAACAAAAGAGAGCAGATTACACATCTGGTTGCACATCTAGCTTCACTACGGCCAAATGACACCCGGCCTTGAGCTTCCCCACCCTTTGCAAAACAGCTCCGTAGCCATTGCGGACGTGAGGGAGACAGGGGAGAGCCTTTGTCAACGTGCAGCAACAGAGGTAAGGGTGTCAAGTGATCCCTCTCGTGTTTGGCCTGTACAGGCTGCGCGAGATGAACGCTGATACCTGGTTATGAATTTATAATGTGCTTCCCATCCAGATGCCAGAACGGCAGGTAGGGCAGGAGCAGCTGAGATCCTTATCTCTTTTGCTTCCAATGATAATATGCTTGAACAGCTCAACGAGTGCGCTCGACTCGCACATCCTCCTCACGTTAGCTGCCAACCACCCCCAGAGCACGGCGCAAGTCCCCTGGCTGACGTGCCAGTACAACACATCTCCTTGGCCCGAGCGGCACATGTGGTGTGCAGGGCAGCGGGGAAAACCAGGTCACGCCCACCGCTGCCTTCTGCAGAGGAGCAGCAGCTGAGCACACAGGACACAGAGGTGCAGTCCACTGTTCACAGGCTAGGAAATAGCAGGAGTAGAAGGGCCACCATTGAGCAATTTCATTCACTGAAAGAATATTTCCAGTTCACTCAGGAGCAAACAGTGGGTGGTTTAGCTCTGATCAGCTGACATGGGCTAAGGAAGGAAAGCAGATGTATCTATCTGAATAGATCAAATCTGAATAGATCAGATCTGAAAGGAACATTCATTTCTCCTGGCTTATCTCATTTGCAAAAACCAAGGGTGAACTCCCAGGGATCCCTGCTAAGTTTGCACAAGGAAGCTTGAAATGGATGAGTGTGCATGCATGGGCTTGAAAGGCTCTCCCGCTGGTCGTGGTGCGTGAGCTTTGTGACGTGCCTGCAGACACGGTGGCCCCGTCTCCTTCCAGCCATGCCTGAGCTCCCGCAGGCTCTCAGCAGCTGTGAGGGCTACCTGATGGCACTGCTCAGCAGCCTTGGTTTATTTCCCTCTCTCTCCTCTACCAGCCTGACTCTGTGGAGCTGTTCCCATCCTCAGCTATTGTGGGACATCTCATTTGGTACCGCACAAATTTTGTCCTCTAGCTTACCTAAATTTTGTCCTCTAGCTTACCTAAATCCTCCAAAATGTGTTTCCACCTGCTTCTCACTTCTTTTCGGGTCTGCCGTAAGGTATAAATATCATAGTTGAGCTTTTGCCATTCCTGCAAAGCAAAGGGATAAGAGAAACTCAGTCATTTATATGCAGGGAGGTCTCTGCTGCATTTCTAGGAATTTCAGCTTTCAGAAATGGAGCCAGAGTACAACTGTTGATGCTGGCGCAGAGGGTCTGCTGTGCAGGTCAGTGGCCAAGCTGCTGTTGCCCCTGGAAGAATTTACACTGACCAACATAGAATGTTTTAGTTTGATGTTTGGTACAATGCTTCTGTATCTTTTCTGTACAAAACAGGCTTCCAGTTACCTTGAAATGGGATTACAGAATTCAGTTTAGGCTTTGCTGATGGCCAAAGTGGTCTCCTCAGACAGACAAGGAAGAGTATAATTCCATTTCTGTGCTGGAAACACTGTCCTTGGCTGGAGAACAACATGAACTTCCAAATGTAGCACATCTGAGAGACTTCAGTGTCTTTGGTTCAAAACCTTTTACCCCAGAATTTGACACCCCTGCTAGTATCAAAATTTGAGGTTGTGAAAATACCTTATTTGACCTTTAACAGCTTGGGAAAGCACAACCACATATTAATAATTACCTTCTATAAACTATTGCAACACCTCATTTTCATACCCTTGCAGGTAAACTGGCAAGGTCTGTTCTCTTACACCTGATGACAACTCATGAGAAACTAAAAGTCTGAAAAGAAACTACTGCTCTTGGTAGGGTCACACATACAGTGGCTTCTCCAAACTGCTGAGACCTCTTTTTGGCATTTAACTGGAGGAGGCAAGTTTTCAACTGGAAAATGAGAAAAATAGGCCTTTTTTAAAGGCTGTGAGATGTCCTGCTTTAAATAGCAGAGAAGAGGGATGCACGTGGATGGTTAAGGGCTGAGCTGGAGTCATTTGACATAGCAACTATTAGTGGCTGCCAATTGCTGCAGTTAATGCTTCACTTAACCACACAGTTTTAAATCCTTGCACTTGACCTCAAGCTTTATATCTGCATCATGGGACTTCTACAACGGTAGGTTTTGAGGTTATATATTAAATAACCAGCACAAGCAAACACACCCATACAAGTACGTGTTCCTTCCTGGTAAAACACAGATTCCACAAGAAAAGCAGGAGCACTTTTCCTAGCTGAGTGTAACCAATGCGCACACTGCACACCAGAGCATGAGTACGGTGTCACAACTGGAGTAGTGGGTTCACTTTTGAGTACAACAGTACAAGAAAGAAATTGAGGGGCTGGAGCAGGTCCAGAGAAGGGCAACAAAGCCGGTGAGGGGTCTGGGGAACATGTCGTATGAGGAGTCCCTGAGGGAACTGGGATTGTTTAGCCTGGAGAAGAGGAAGCTGAGGGGAAACCTTAGTGCTCTCTACAACTCCCTGAAAGGAGATTGGAGTGAGGTTGCAATTGGTCTCTTCTCCCAAGTAACAAGCAATAGGATGAGAGGAAATGCACTTAAGTTATGCCAGCAAAAGTCTCAATTGGATATTAGGAAGAATTTCTTCCCTGAAAGACTGGTGAGGCATTGGGCCAGGCTGCCCAGGGAAGTGGTGGAGTCACCATCCCTAGAGGGGTTCAAAAAATGTGTGATATTTTGGGACATGGTTGAGTGGTAATGGTAGTGCTATGTTGATGGTTGGACTTGATGATCTTAGAGGTCTTTTCCAACCTTAACGATTTTAAGATTCTACGAAAGGATGCATTTAGAGAAGCATCCACACAGCGGGCCATAACAACACTCAGGTAATTTCCCTGCACTAACAATCTATCTAATTTCTCAGCAACAGATTACATAGATGGATTCCTGCAGAATAAACAGGTGTTAATCTGTGCCACCTCCCTGGGATTTTCCTGTATGACATGCTGAGTTCATAGGGGTTCAACAATACCCATGAAGGTTGGCTGCGTGTTAGAAATCCCACTGTTTTTCTGATAGCTGCTGCCTTCAAGAGTTGACTTGATTCCATAAAGAGTAGGCAATTTCTTTGTGTTTTTTATCTTGAATCCAGCTGACACACAACAACTGCAGAGAATTAAATGATGAGTCTGTTTTCTTATTGTTCAGTGATAGGTGCAGGAAGCCCATGGAGATTACGCTGGGGAAGAAGCAGCTGGTGGGTTAAGACACTGGTGAATTGAGGTCAGGAGAGCAGGGGAAACACGGCTCTGCCTGCAGCCACTCTCTCTGCACCGCTTGTCCTCCCAGGGAGTAAAATCCCCTTCGTTTTTGGCTTTGTGTTGCTGCTAGTGTTGCCAATCAGAGATGTATTTTTCTCTTGACTGTAGCAGTACTTGAAAACAGCTTTACTGTTTGCCCAGGAGGGCAGCTGGCTGCCAGTGCAAGGCATTGAAACCCCTCTTCAGCCCTTTGCAAGGGAAAGGAGGCAGGGACAAGACTCTCCCCTCTTTCGACGCCGTCTCGGAGCTAGGAACTGAGCTCCTCTCAGTGAAAAAGAAAAGGGGGGGGAGTTATTGTATTAAAGCTTTGTGGGAAGTTTATTGCCAACTTGAAAGTTTTAAAGTTTTAAAAAAGATACTACAAGGCTGCACAATGCCTTAGTCTTTGCTGGTCCCTCAGAAACATCTCAGCCTGCTCGTGACCCCATGGTATAAGCAAAAAGCAGAGCAAACCAGCCTGGGCATGCTGGTGGGGAAATAAGCTACGTGTCTCTGTCCTCCCAAGTGCTTTAATGCAGATGATTGAACAGCTTTTGTTGATTCCAGGCATCCTTCACGCTGCCAAATTAGTGAGGCAGGGGGGTGGGAAAGATGCTCCTCTCCCCAGAATGTGGCTTGCTGGCATCGGGCAGCAGCTTTCAGGGCTGTGAGGATTTACCCCCCGTAGTAGCCAGCCAGACTCCTTGCAAAGCTAAACAGAGAGCAGCACTTAACATGCAGGGGAGCTGCTCCTGATTTTCTCTGGATTAACATCAGTGTGGTTTTCCCTTGTCTATTTTTGTTTTAAGGGAATCTAGGTTACGGCTTTCTTGTACATCATAGTTACTGAGCTGGGTTACGTAGGCAAATATAGTGCATGTTTAGACCCAAGGGACCTCTAACAGCATTCTGTTGATGAAGAATTTGGGGAGTATGCAAAGGAGTGGCTTTTGCCCAGAAAATTATGCTTAACAACGGTGCCTAGGGGGGGGACACCTCTTTTTTTTGTGGGATTTCTTTTGCCTGAGTGTAGACGTGGGTGTATTTATACTTCCACAGAGAAAGCAGAGAGGAGGATACTGCACACAGTGCCAGTCATTGAAAAGCAACTAGAGACAGCAGGGACTGTCAGGGGGGAGCTGGGCACTTACAGGCTGCTCCCAAAGGCCCTCGTGCCCTGTTCTCCATCTGCCTCAGAAATTACAGTTTTCCCAGGCAATTCCTTGTAGCAGAGACATGCAAAATGCTGCGGGCAGGGAACTGTCCACTGTGTGGTTTTAATGAGGATATAAAGCTAAGAGCATCTGTCCAGCCCCAAAATTATTCTCAAAAGCATCTCCCCTTTAACTACACAGCAGGGGAAGAGCCAAGCTGGTTCGCCCGCACACAGGAACGGGCAGCATCAGAGACTTTGGGGAGGGCGTTCCCCAGGCACGTCCCGTGAGTCACCACAACGTGACACGGAGGGAGCGCCGGGCCGGGCCCGGGCAGCGTCCCGCGGCTGAG